TCACATCTGTCAATGTCATCTGTTGAGAGCGCGGACTGTATTTGCAGGATTTGAACACTGTTTTATACAAAATCGATGTATTTGCACATATCTATCAGCAAACAAGTCTTTACAAATACAAGCGTTTAGAGTACAGACACCATCACAACCATAATTCTAAGGAAAGCTATTCTTGAAGTCATCAATTCAAGATGAATGTGCGATGTAGAACAATATAATGAAAAATGAAAATGAAAAATGAAAAATATAATGAAATATACAGATAATGTTGCTTGCAACAAAATGTATTTTTATAAATATTTTTCTTTTTTTTTTTTATACAACTTAGGATGGCAAACAAGCTGACGACGGCCCACCTGATGGAAAGTGGTAACCGTCTCCTATAGACATGAGCAGTACTACGGACATAACAGAGTATACTGTTTCGCCCATGATACCCCCCATGCGTTGCCATTCCTGAGGACTCAAGTGTTATTCCTCTGTACCCAGTAAATTCACGCCAGCTATGGCCGCCTGCAACACTAGTGGTGTCATGTGGCCGTTGCCGACGCTGAAAAAACCTTAATATATCCTTTTTAAAGAACCCCATACTGTAGTCTGTCTATAGTCTCTAAGGAAAATTCCAGAAAAACAAGTAAGATATATACGAATTAAAACGAATCAAGACAGTATGCATAATAAATAAACCATTCATACAGGGGGGAAGGAATTGTTAGTAATGGGGAGTTTAGTCCCCATTGCTATCAATATACCCTATCAGGTCGACCTCCACGCGGCTCTCCCTGGAAACTATCGTGACCAATTTATCATTAAATTTGTCACAATGGGCTAACTGACCTGCCTTCTCATCCTCACCTATCACCGCTCACTGGTACCTCGCTAGTGTATACCGACAGTGAAGGCGGGGTAGCCGTGCCATTTTCATGCATAAAAAAAAACCATTCATACATTGGGATGAGGACTTGACCGTTTTTTTTAATGGGTGATAATGGAATGGTAACCTCACCCACGCTATCGGTATACACCGGCGGGCCACCAGTGAAGGATGATAGGTGAGGATGAAGCAGGTCTGTTAGCCCATCGTGACGAATTCAACAAGAATTGTTCATGATGGTTTTCAGGGGGAACCACGTGGAGGTCGACCTAATAGGGCATATTGATAGCAATGGGGCTGTCAAGCATTGCTAACAATCCCTTTACCCCCGACTTGACCGTTTTCCCGCTGCCGCCTCTCACTTAACACCGCTCATGTGACCTTAACGAGGTGACGGTGCGGCGTTAAAACTTTTGTTCTTGGCGGGGCCACTTAGGAACGGGTCTTACTTGAAACGGCGCATTGTGAAAGCTAATGTTGTCTATTTGTATTGAAGCCGGTACAGAGCATACAACTACACTATATCATCGCATATACACATATAGCTGATGCCCGCGTCTTTGTCCGCGTGGTTCTTTTTTTTTTTATCGAAATTCTGTACTATATAAAGGCAACACCCAATTTATTATCTACAGTTATTATGAGTTACTTTGTATATATGTCAACATATTTATTATTTCTTAATAGAAACATCTATAATGTTTCCTTCTATTATTGTACGCATACTGCCCGCTAGAAATTAATGCCCCTTTCCACTCAGGGTTTGCTGGAAGAGAACTCTTACAGAGTTAAGCTCGCCTGTTGTACATCTTTATTTTATATATATGTTTGTAATTTTTTGTATACAATAAAAAATAAAATAAAATAAAACAGTATTATCAAATCATAGCAAAATTAGAAAAATTGAGAGCAAAAGAGGAAGGGGAAGACCGAAGAATAACTACATGGGACAGATAAAGGAAACAATAGGTGTCATGTCGTATAGGGTAGTCAAAGATATGGGACGGCAATGTAGTGATCAAGGATATCTAACGCATTCAGTCACTAACCTTTGCTTGAAGAAAGATTCAAATTAATCTTGCAGTTGAAAGACAGAAGGAAACTAGTAAACAGCAAACGACCGGGGGAAAGGGATTGTTAGTAATGGAGACTGAGAATCCCATTGCTAGCAACATACCCAACCAGGTCGACCTCCTCGCGGTTCCCCCTGGAAACTATCATGGTTAATTCCTGACGAATTCATCATGATGGGCTAACTGGCCTGTTTTCATTCTCATCTATCACCCTTCACTGGTGCTCCGCCAGCGTATCCCGTAAGCGCAGGCGGGGTTGCAATACAATTTTCACCCATCAAAGAAAAAAAAACAACAAATGAGAATAACATTTAAACAGAATTTATTATAAACCAAATTTAATATTTTGCATTAGGTAGGATTCGTAAAGACAGAAAGATAGATGTAAGCTAAACTAAAACTCAAACGTCACAATGTTTTTCTAAAATAATGCAAACGACAAGTCTTAATTATTATATTGACGTAAAAAAATTGTTGGCGCGGTTTTTTTTTGATTGGATGAAAATGGTATGGTAACCCCGCCTGCGCTAATGGGACACGCTGGCGGAGCACCAATGAAGGGTTATAGATGAGAATGAAAACAGGCCAGTTAGCCCATCATGATGAATTTATCAGGAATTAACCATGGTAGTTTCCAGGGGGAACCGCGAGAAGGTCTACCTGGTTGGGTATATATCCAGCAATGGAATTCTTAGTCTCAATTACTAACAATCCCTTTCCCCCCTGTTGGCGCGGTTAAAAGGAGGTAGCGGGATGAGTCGCTACAGCAACATATCTACTTGTACATCAATTAGTCCATTACACTAAGGTCGTCTTGAAAAGATTGCTCTCAGCAATAAGACCGCCTTACTGTACTTTTACAATTGTATCGTTGTGTTTGTAAATTGTCTCGCTTATTTCCTATATTGTATAATGCAAATAAAGTATACTCATTCATTCATTCAACAGTCAGAATCAGTACTTTTTAAAGAGAATTGTTTCCCCTACAAGAATGCCTATAAAATCTAATGATTTACTCAACTCTGTTATAAATTGAGACATCTGTAGCGTATATTATTCTAGTGGATGCGTTTGCGCAAATGTTGTTTACATATTTATCCTGCCAGGTTGGTCACGAGGTGTTTATGTCAAATACTGTGAATTCACAAATATACAAATCAAATGGCTATACAAAAATATAATTACGAATAATAAGGTGGTATTAACATAAAAAAATATAAAGGGGATAAAAGAGGACAGAGTTAGAGATGTAGGTTACAATACAAGATCAATACAAAATAACCGAATGCCTTGTGGTCTAGACATTGATTCAGTCACTCGGTCCGTTTCCATAGGTTTCTTAAGAAGCGACTAAGAGAAATTAATGGTTGAAGTATTGGCTGCAGCATCCCTCTTAAAACATCACCGAAGCCTAACTGGGGTTACCAACCCGCCAGCCAAGTGTGGCGACTATTAGCAAAATCCCTTACCGCGATCAAGGGTGTTCAAAGTGAAGAGTGGCTTATTGCGAAGCAAATTTACCTGTAGTGTTTACACGATATTACGACAGCCCGCATCATAAATTTAAATATTTTTTCTCTTTATTTTAATTTAAATCTAATGTGTCTACAGAAGACCACGTTGACCATCTCTATTTCAACATCAGCGTGATTCATAAATGGAATAGATATATTTTAAAGAGTAAAATTTTAAAATAACACTGTTTAATTCTACTAAGAGACGAGGATAGTAATTTGAATAGCAAATATTATGTATATTCGTATAAAATAACACTAGTACATAAACATTGCATTTTTTTTAAACTCGACGCATAATAATTCAGGACTTATTTAGAACCTTTTCGGACTTAACGATTTTAATTAAATACCACCTTAATAGAATAAATTTAAAGGCGTGTACCGCCGGCATAGAATAGGCCACCCCTTCTTTTCACGTGGGTGTCGTAAGAGGCGACTAAAGGAAGGCGAGGGTAAGGCAGCAGCGTCCCTCTTAAAACATCTTCAAAGCCTAACTACGGTTGCTAATCCGGCTGCCAAGCGTGGTAACTACTGACAAAACCACCCAAGAAGGAGGCTGTTCAGCAGTGGACAGTTAAAGGCTGATATGATGAGAATAAATAAATTAACTTCTTTATACCAGCACAAACTAGCATACAACCTGCAATAATACAGGCATTAACTTGACCCTGAAAAATAACCTTCGAAGAACGAACGCCTTTTTCATATTTTTCTTTTACATTTATATTTCTATGTCGATAGTAATTCACGTTTTGCAATGGATTGAAAACTAGTTCCGAATTTAAAATTTATTACCCGTAGTATTGGCATTTTTTTCTTTGAATCTTATGGTATACGACACACCAAACAGAAAAGGGCCTTTTTCAGCAAATGGGAGTCTCGTCCGATTTCAGTGGACCGAGTGAGTGTTAACTGTGTTTTCAATTTCGAATTTCCAAAAAAAGCCGATGTCCCCGAAATATAACAGGATTCTGTTATACAATACTTTCTGGAGATTCAAAAGCGAAAAAGTTCATCAAAACTAGACAGAAAACTCATTTACTAAAACCAGCCTTATATATATAATATATAAAATTCTCGTGTCGCGGTGTTCGTTACCAAACTCCTCCGAAACGGCTTTACCGATTTTCATGAAATTTTGTGTACATATTGGGTAGGTCTGAGAATCGGCCAACATGTATTTTTCATACCCCTCAAAGATAAGGGTGACCCACACCAAAATTTTTTTTTTTTGCAATTTTTTTATTTTTATTTTATTATAATTTAGCATTGAAAAATACACACAACTTCAAATTTTCACCGTTTTACGATCAATCCCTGTTTTTTAATCGCGATTTTTATATTCCGCAATAGGGTTGCAAGATGGCAATCGAATATAATAATTGTAGTACGATATATTTTCATGCATAGTTCTACAAATAATGTATATGGTAAAACAACGTTTGCCGAGTCAGCTAGTATATATAAACAAATTCAATGTTAATAACAACCCATCCATCAAACCATGCATGTTAGTCAATCAACAATCCAACTAACTGTCTTGTAGGGTCCACGTGTTCAACGCCGTGTGGGTGCTGACACTCCACACCGGTACTCCGAAATGCTCTTTAAGACACGAACTGTTACTGCTCTTCATCGTTTCCAGTAGCATTTTCGTCGTTTTCCCGACGTTCTCTGTGCGTTTCAAGAACGCCACGATGTCAACACCGCACGTTTCGTTAACGAACTTTCTGCACTCGGCCGCACCGTGAGGGGACAGCGTCCCATCCTTCGATATCACGGAGCTGCATACCTCGTTGATAAGCTCCAGCACGGCCATATGCGGCTCGAATATTACGTCACAGCATCCTGTTTATTTAATAGTAAATCTATTATATCCAATGTAAGTCCTTTTTTTATACAACTTAGAATGGCAAACAAGCTGACGGCCCACCTGATGGAAAGTGGTAACCGTCGCCTATAGACATGAGCAGTACCATGAACATAACATACTGTTTCGCCCATAATACTTTTGTTTATACAACTTAGAATGGCAAACAAGCTGACGGTCCACCTGATAGAAAGTGGTAACCGTCGCCTATAGACATGAGCAGTACCATGAACATAACAGAGTATACTGTTTCGCCCATAATACTTTTGTTTATACAACTTAGAATGGCAAAAAAGCTGACGGCCCACCTGATGGAAAGTGGTAATCGCCTATAGACATGAGCAGTACCATGGACATAACAGAGTGTACTGTTTCGCCCGTGTCAACCCCATGCATTGCCATTCCTGAGAACTAAAGCGACCTCTGTGGTTAAACAGATGGATTAAACATTTCTATTTATATGTAACTAAAGGTCTTATCTGGTAGACATATCAAATATGTTGTATTTGAGGAGACAATTTATTGATTTTTTTTAAAGATTTATATTATAACTACATCCTTATTGGTCTAGACATTTTCTATGTATTGTATGTATATTTTGCAAATAAAAAAATAATATATTTTAACAGATATGTCTCTGGCAACTCGATTCGAATTATTTTGTTTAGTTCCGCTACCATTTGTATGCGTGTGAGTTGCAACATAAATAACACCTAATTAAATAAATTTAAATATTTAAGTATGTCTACCCTTCAAGTATCTATAATGTATTATGAATAGTACAATGATGTACAAGTTTCGGAATAAATAATATTAAATTTTTGTTTATGGTACAGTATTATATTATTACAGTACAGTACTATATTACAGTACTATATTTGCAGTACAGTATTTAAGGCATCTCCTCGCTATTGGATACGGGTGACGGAATGCCTTTACAAGAGGATACTTGGTGGGCGCAATTTAGACGCAATATTTGAGGAGCATTAGGAAGGCATAATATTAAATGTTGGATCGGTTCCCCAGTAGTATACATTGGAGACCCGGAAATCTGACAATGCGACTCGACGTATGTCGTGTGGTTTGAGTAGGTACGGGTACAAAGTGTACAAGTATGTACACACCCCTTCTGCACTACCTCTGGCACTTGAGACGGCCTTTTGAAGATTTTCCACACTTTAAAAAAAATGTATCAATTAGGTATTATCTACTATTTTGAATTTGAAAAATTGTTACACCACAAATATAGAACCAGTGACTAATGTAGCAAATATGCCGCTTCTGGAAAAAACTATTTGCCTCATCGGGCAAAAATAACATTTTCCTTCTCGGGCAAAAATAACATTTTCCTCCTCGGGCAGAAATAATATTGTCTAATATTTTTAATGCTCTGCCGTTTCTAATTATTGCCGCTCTAAGCAATTACACCAGTTAGCTCCTCTGTCATTGAATGGAATGTTCCACTATACAAGAAATATTCTGCCCATTGCAAATATACAATACATAGTCACAATTATGAATATGACAACACCGTCTTGGCAATGTCCTCTGATTGCTGTTTAAATGTGAAAAACATACCGAGTTGGCATTGGTAAATAATTTACTTTTGGAATGGGCAATTTTAAGATTGATATATAGGTAATATTAATATCAACAAATAGTATCTAATACAAGTCGTAACGTTAATATATTATATATAGTGACTTTGTACAAAAGTCGTTTGCTTGGGTACCTCTGTCCCATTCATGTTTCAACCGTGAAGCAGTTGTGTTTGCATGGCTGTGTTTCGGTTTGAAGGGTGGGATTAGGCGTAAATTTACAGGGTACAGAGGAATAACACCTGAGTCCTCAGGAATGGCAACGCATGGGGGGTATCATGGGCGAAACAGTATACACTGTTATGTCCACGGTACTGCTCATGTATATAGGCGACGGTTACCATTTTCCACCAGGTGGGCCGTCAACTTGTTTGCCATTCTAAGTTATATAAAAAAAAATATTATTTTATCTTTTTTTGTGTATAAAAATACATATAATAAATAATCACATATACCTTTTTTTATATACAACTTAGAATGGTAAATTAGTAATTTTTTTTTGCTTTCATGTGTGCGCCATAATAAGACAAAATGGTCACAACCTAGTTGATTGTTTATTATCTATACTTATAATAAATCTGTAGAGAGGTCAATTCTGTACATGAAATATATTTCCATAATAACTATCACGGGGTGATTAGTGATCGATACTGATGACAAAAATGCTATAATGTTCGTTATAGAAACAAAAACTACTCGACGGATTTTAACGAAACTTGGTGCAATTATTCTTCATACTCCCGGGCAGGTTATAGTATACTTTTCATTACGCTACGATCAATAGGAGCAGAGCAGAGACGGGCCATTAGTATTTTATAATTTGTGAGTCAAATATACATACATCTGTAACTATTTAGCCACAACAATTTTTAATATTATTTTGTGCATAATTAATTACAATTAAAAAAATTCTGCCTTTTGTATTAAAAATTTTTTTGTAATGGGAATAAATAAATACTACTACTGCATGTTAATGTTATACTGTTTTTTTTTTTTTACTATTGAAGGGTCCCACTACTGATTGACAATCACACCTGATAGATAGTGATGATGTTGTCAAAGATGGGACTCGCGGACCCATGAATAAACCCTTATCCATTGCGGGGGGTGGTCATTTGATAAAAAGCTTGGAATTTTTTAATCATAAAAAATTTACCTTTCTTTTCTGTGTTACAGGTAGTAATTATAATATTTCAGTACTTATTCAGATATGCTGACAATTAAATTATTAATAACAGATTGGAAACTTGATACCAACAGCACTGAATGATGATGCCTTCTATATTTTGGATTATTTCTAAATATCTGAAATATGTTCCATTATGATTATCCAAAGAGGAATTTAATCATCCAGAGACTTATATTTTTATATTATGTTGTTAAAAAAAATTGAGACACTAATATTTTTTCATTTAAAAATCTTCTTGAGAACCTATGATCTGAGGCAATAGATTATATTTTTTTCTATTTTATCATATAGCCTCTCTATCTATGAGCAGATGTTGACTTATCTGTGGTGAGATTAAATAAATGGAATAACGTATACAGTTACCCTAATAGATGTAAAAACCCAATCTGGCATCTAAATTGACATTAATGCATGTACATATATTAGCTACTTATAAATATAATTTTGCTGCACCCAAACAGGGTTTCATGTACTTACTCTACATAAGAACATTGTAACAGCTCTATATTATGTACATGAATGCATTATAATAATAAATAAATAATATTTTAAAAATAAATATTTAGTATTGAAACTCATCCAATATATTTAGATAACAAAATAAAATAATAATAAATATTTATATTACAAAATCATTAATCATTTTAAAAATAATATACATAAATAGTTTTTAAATTCTGTTATTATTTTTTCATATTTGTTTTCAATCTGTTTAATTGATATAAATAATAACTTTACTGAAAGAAAACATTTAATTACAGGACAAAATAAATTAAACATGTTCATATTTAATTAATTACTTATACGTTATAGAAATTGTTATGTATTTATTAGAGATGTCTAATGACAGTTGATATTTGGTGTACTGAGGGTAAAAGATAAATAAATCAGTTTGCTTATAATCTCAACTTGGATGTATTCTTTATTGGCGACGAAGTAAATAAAAATTGTTTATTGTGAAAATGGCAGCAACTGTTTCAAATATTGTGTTTCCTGGACAATTCAACCCAAAGACTGATAAGTGGTGTGATTATAAGGAACAGTTAATGTGCCCGCTCGACGCAGCGGGCGTCGGTGAGGATAACCTCAATAGGGGCCGATCACTGTTCCTTTCTCAATGTGGAAAAGACACTTTTGCATTAATTGCATCGCTTTTAGTTCCAAAAAGGCCTACAGAAGTACCTTTAGTGGAAATTTTGAGGGTTCTAGATAGGTTTTTCGAACCAGAAGTTAACGAAATTCTACAAGCGGGAAAATTTCACAAACGACAACAGTTACAGGGAGAAAGTGTACAGGACTATGTGGCGGCCATCAGCCAGCTCGGAGCTAAATGCAATTTTATAGATTTGGAACGCCAGTTGAGAGACCGACTAGTGCTGGGGGTGCGGGATGATCGCTTACGACGCGACTTATTGAAAAAGAAGAAAATAACTTATGAAGTTGCACTACAAACATGTCTGGACTATCAAGTGACATTCCCTGATTTGTACCCTGCCAGTACGTCTAGCGAATCAAAGCAAACTCCGTTAAACGTCACCGATTGTGAACCTATGGACATTGGCATTGTAAAATCTAATGAATGTCGACGGTGTACACGCGGTCATAAGCCAGGCGAACGTTGTCCATTTTGGAAAGCAAAATGTTTCTATTGTAAGAAGTTTGGACACATCGCGGCGGCATGTGATAAAAAACCGGGCCGCATGCACCAGGTTAACGAGACGGGGGAATGTAGCAGAAGTGGTGATACGGCAGTAGAGGAAATGATGGGGATCTATGTTTGTACTGATAATTATACACCACCAATAACGGCAGAGGTCATAATAGACGGTGTAAAATTATTAATGGAAGTAGACTCGGGGGCATCACGGACCATTATGTCGGAGGAGACATATAAGAAGCTCTGGTCGACACCTCCACCGTTAAGAGCCACTACTTTGAAGTTGGTGACATGGACTAGAGATCCAATAAAAGTGTTGGGAGTAGCAAATGTGCGGGTTATATTAGCGAACAAGGAAGCACAGTGTGAACTTGTGGTAGTGTCAGGAAATGGTCCAAATCTGTTAGGCAGGAATTGGTTCCAAACACTAGGACTTCAAGTGTCTGGTTTGTGCTGGTCGGAAGAGGAGATAATACTTTATAAAAGGGAATTTCCTGAATTATTTAAAGAAGGATTGGGGGAGTACAAGGGCCCTAAAGTATCGTTACACTTACGGAAAGACGCGACGCCGCGTTTCTTAAAGGCTCGCGCGGTACCATACCCACTCAAACAGAAAGTGATTGAAGAACTGAATAAGATGGTAATAGAGGGCGTGCTAACACCTATTCGATATTCGGAGTGGGCAACACCATTGACACCAGTGATGAAAGATGACGGGACAATACGGATGTGTGGCGATTATCGTGTGACAGTAAACACCGCGATAGATACAGACACGTACCCCCTTCCAACGGCAAATGAAGCGTTTGTAAGGTTGAGTGGGGGTAGAATATTCAGTAAATTAGATTTAAAGCAAGCGTATACACAGCTAAAAGTTGATGATGCGACTGCAATGCTGTTAACACTCAACACTCCAATTGGTTTAATGAGAATGAACCGTTTACCGTTCGGTGTCAATGCGGCGCCAGCTGTTTTTCAACGCCTGATGTCAACGGCGCTTGCAGGTATGGAGGGCGTCGCCTGTTTATTGGACGATGTGGCGGTAACGGGATCCACCATTGAAGAACACAATCACAGACTTAGAGAAGTGCTAGGTAAATTGCAAGAAATGGGATTTCGATTGAATGAAAAAAAGTGTGTTTTTGCGGCGAACAGCATTACGTTCTTAGGCCACATGATTGATGCGGAAGGCCTCCACCCGGCACCTACGAAGGTAAAGGAAATTCAAGAAAAACCGGCTCCAACTAACAAAGAGACGTTGCGAGCCTTTTTGGGCTTATACAATTTCTATGAGAAATTTTTACCTGATAAGAGCACTATATTAGAGCCATTATATAGACTATTAGAATCAAAGAGACCCTGGAGCTGGGGAGAGAAAGAACAGAAAGCTTTCAATGAGGCAAAACGTTTATTGTCATCGGATCTTACATTGGTGGGATATGATTTACAAAAAGAATTGCTTCTCATCTGTGATTCTTCAGAATACGGAGTAGGAGCGATTATTGCCCATGTGATGAAAGACGGATCTGAAAGACCTGTAATGATGGCCTCGCGCACATTGCAAGCTCATGAGAGACGATACGGGCAAATTGATAAGGAGGCACTAGCAATTATATTTGGATTGACCAAATTTCACGAATTTTTAGCAGGTCGTAAATTTTGTATAGTTACAGATCACAAGCCACTGGTAGGGTTATTCAATCCTGCAAAGCCTATACCTGAACAGATTTCGCCTAGAATGTTACGCTGGTCACTTAAACTCGCTTGCTATGACTATAAGCTAAAATACAGACCTGGGAAACTAATTGGCAACGCGGATGCTTTAAGCAGATGGACCGCTACGGATACATCCAGTGTAAAGAAGGAAGTGTCTGGTGATCTGCTTCTGTTAGAAGAGCAGTTGAGCGGGTGGCAGCTAAATGCTGGCAAAATTGCTGAAGAAACTAAAAAGGATATGGTGCTGCAAAAAGTAATGTTCCATGTTTTACACGGCTGGCCACGTAAGAATACAGATTCAAGTTTACAAGCTTATTGGACAAGAAGAGAAGCTCTTTCGCATAATAATGACTGTTTATTGTGGTGTAACAGAGTAATAATACCGGCATCCTTGCAGGAAAAGGTTTTGAAGTTGTTACATGCTCCACACGCGGGCATGGTCCAGACGAAAGCGTATGCAAGAGGCTATGTATGGTGGGTAGACATGGATCGTCAAATTGAGAATATTGTAGCCGCCTGCCAACAGTGCCAATTAGTAAGAAATAAACCACCAAAGGATCCTCAATCTTGGATTGTTTCAGAGAAACCCTGGAGTCGTGTACATGTGGACTTTGCTGGACCCTTCCAGGGGAAAACATTTTTAGTTCTAGTAGATAGCTATAGCAAATGGTTTGAAGCCGAAATAGTACCAACGATGAATAGCGGGACAGTGATAACGGTGCTAAGGAAAATTTTTACTTCACAAGGACTGCCTGACGTACTAGTTTCAGATAATGGACGCGCATTTACCTCGGAAGAATTCAATAATTTCTTAAAAAAGAATGGAATTAAACATTTGTATTCCCCACCTTACCACCCAGAAACGAATGGGCAGATAGAACGTGCAATTCAAACATTTAAAAATAAAATGAAGAAACTTGAAAGCCAGAATATACAATGGCAACAAAAATTGTGTAAAGTTTTATATTATTTAAGGACAGTTCCTAATAGTTCCACTAACAAAACACCAGCGGAACTACTCAATGGGCGGAGATATAGAACGGCAGTGTCAGTCTTACACCCTGATTCGATGCCTAGCCGTACTGACCAGCAACGTGAAGTGGCGGCACAGCACCGGCCCACCCGTACCTTTGCAGTGAATCAACCAGTACTGATACACATGTACGGGCCAGGAGAAAAGTGGCGCAGAGCCACTGTGGAAACAATAGAGGGGCCAACGACTTACAGGGTGAAAACGGAAGATGGAGAGTTACATCGCCGCCATACTGACCAAATCTTGGCCAGACCATCTGACATGACATGTCGCCCATCTGAGTTAGACAGTCAACTCATGAAGGATTCAGATTCAGAATTGACACCAGATTCCCCCATATTGATTCCACCGCCTGATTTATGGCCAGATATTATAGGAATACCTAATTAGCATTTCATTATTGTGATTGTCAATTTTAAAATATTATTATGTATCTATTGATTTGTAGGATAGAATCATTGCTTTGTAAACCAATCAATATGAGAGAAAGGTATGTTATGTATTTATTAGAAATGTCTAATGACAGTTGATATTTGGTGTACTGAGGGTAAAAGATAAATAAATCAGTTTGCTTATAATCTCAACTTGGATGTATTCTTTAGAAATAATTGCAGATATATCTAATTTATATAAACAATAACAAGAACGGTAATATTACTTTAAACAATTTAGAATAGCAGGAAAACTGATGGTCCAACCTGATGAAAAATGGTAACTGTCATCTATAAATAATAACATCCCCGTGATCTCCTTAGCACATGCATTGTCATTGCTCAGAACAAAAAAGTTATTGAAGAGGGCTTTTTTTATACAACTTAGAATGGCAAACAAGCTGTCGGTCCACCTGATGGAAAGTGGTAACCGTCGCCTATAGACATGAGCAGTACCATGAACATAACAGAGTATACTGTTTCATGTGTTGCCATTCCTGAGGACTCAAGTGTTATTCCTCAGGGTCGTTGGAAGATCCCGAATAGAAAGATATCATGTAGGTTACTTAAGAAAAATTTTACAATATATTTCCAGTGGAAAATGAAGGACACAACAAAGGATAAGTCGGGAAACAGAGAATTAAAATATTATGGCTCTGTAAATGATCAAAAATTTAAACAAATATGAGGAAAAAAGAATTGGCTAAACTATTAAATTTGTATTATGCAAATATTTTATCAGTACATTTTTTTTATATATGGCCTTGATAATATATTGTTTATTAATAGTATATTATTATTGATTTATTCAACAGTTTTTTTATGGAAATGATAATGAATTATATTTTCCTTTTAGATTATAGAAACTTTAGAACTTTAGAAGTACTCCTTTGCCTTTATTTGCAATTAGAAATACTTTATGCATATTTAAATGTCAGCAATATATTTGGAGACATCATCTGTAAATGTGACAAATAAATATAGAATGATAGTAAATGGATACATGACACTTAATTTATCCTACATTCAGTTTGAAGGGTGGGATATGGCGTGAATTTACAGGGTACAGAGGAATAACACCTGAGTCCTCAGTAATGGCAACGCATGGGGGATATCATGGGCGAAACAGTATACTCTGTTATGTCCATGGTACTGCTCATGTCTATAGGCGACGGTTACCACTTTCCATCAGGTGGGCCATCAGCTTGTTTGCCATTCTAAGTTGTATAAAAAATAAATAAAAAAAATGTTCCATAAAATAGAAAATAATGTCCTAAAGTAAGGTAATCATGATTTTGCACTAAGTTCTATATTTTTTTTTAGTTTACTGAATAAGGGGTGAAAATAACCAGAGAGAACTGTTTTTTATTCCTTTGCCTATTTATTTCGATAAGTAGATAAAGTCTCAATTAATTTGAAAATAGAACATTGGTATTAGATATACCAGTAAATTATAGATACTAATTCATTAATAGCATACAAATAGCTACTTTCATATAAATTATAGTTACACTAATTATTGATATGACTTCACACCATATATTAAAAAAAATGTAAATTAAATGCCTTGAAAACTAATTTCATTTATACAAAAACTTCTATAGATATTAAATATCTATGCAGAATATTAATAGACCGCTTACATTAGAAAATAATATGGCAAATAAATATCTAGTTATACAGTGTTATGTTAAATGAAACGACATACCTATAGCAACGAGCAATACTTGAAATCTCTATGTAACAAGCCTTTTATGTAACTTTGTACAGACTGTTATTTACACATAGGTGTGAAACAAGTTTTCTAGAAGAATAAGCAATATTTTATTTGCATTGAACATTTCTTAATACATTTGTAGGCAAGATAAATATTTTTAAGTGAAGGTTGTGACATTTTTCTAATAGTTTCGTTCGAGAATCAACAATAAATTATGCAATGATGTTTATATTATAATTTCTTAGGTAAGTTCCATGATTCGAATGGTTCTTTTGCAAACATAAAGCCCAAAGTCAACAACTGGACCGAGTCTGTTTGTACAGCAATATCTTGCTCTTGCGAATCGCAAATACGCCGACGTAACTGTTTACACTGAAATTCAATCGCTAATACATTATTTTTGCAATGGGAATCTCGAGAATTAGGTAATAAACATGACGTCAGCTGCTGCAGTTACAAGTTTACTCCCGTAAGTGGAGTATAATTAGATTAAAGTCATCAGAAGCCGCCCGCTGCACGGAACCGCGGCCAGCGGTATTGACATTGAGCTTGAGTTAAAAATACCGACTTTACCTGCCTCCCGGTCGAACTTGTTCGGCTTTAACTGCTCCTGCGTGTGGCCCAAGATCAGCGGAGACAGTATCCTGGGCCACAGCACTGCGAAACATCCCACAACAATCACTAGTACGAACATTGTCTTTCGTGGACCTAACACCTCCTCGTTCGCCATTCTGTCGTCGTGTTTTTCGTATCGTTTCGTCACTCACGTACACAGCCGGTCGCACTCTACGGGTACATCGTCGTGTGTGATATAAATAAAGATTTTCCCTCCCACGTTCGCCCGTGAGGCAAGAAAAACGCGAAAATGACAGCTGTCAAACGCCCTCTCCCGGCGCTGCATTCGCTACGGGCTTAAGGAAGCGATCCGGCGCACTCTATCTTACGGGAGCATCCGCGCATCTTCAAATTCTCTTCTATCGAAGAAAGCCGGTGGATTGAGCTGGCTCGAAGTGACACAGCCGTATACGAAGTCAAACAGCTATGCCGACTTCTTGCCTTCCCAGCCACCGGCTCGGCTTGCAATGGTGAAATCGGCGGAGCGGTAAAATGCAGTTCAAATATTGACAGAGCGTATTAAAGTTTGGGGGCGAGCGTACGGCACTCGCTGGTCACAACTCGGTACATTATGCCTGGGCGCGGAGGCGGCGTCGGCTATTAACCCGTCCCCACCGCGAAGAGAACTACACGCGCTCAGATGAATACTAATTAGACACTTCTGTAGGTACCTACTGGTCGTAGGCGAGAACCATCGACAAAATGTGCACCCTTAATTCCTCATAAAAAAATTATTGTTTTTTTTTTCACAACCATATCTTTTGAAGCTTAGAAATTCACTGAACTCGCTCAACATGTTATGGCGAGGCTTCTATGACACAAATGTTCACCACTGTACGTTCACTGCAGATCCATCTGAGCATGTGTTTGACTGTAAACAGTATTTCTGAATTTATTTACTCATCACAATGAGTTAACGTAAAACATACGATTTCGTTAACGTTAGTTGACTGCGTAATTGAGTAGGTAGTTATGTGTTTACCTTGTTTCTATAACATACTTAACTATCTACTTATCGAGAACTTCATAAATAATTTAGGCTAATGAGAAAGAGATTAAACAAATAAAAACAAGATACAGTATTGGGAAACCCATTACACACCATATGTATATTACTCATTTACCTATATAACTATTGTTAAAAGTTACCAAATATTTGTAAAAACTAAGTCTTGAAAAAGGAAAAACCAATTTATTCGTGTATTGATAGTTTTTTTTTTAATGAATGATAATGGAATGATGAACCCGTCTGTGCCCAAGTTATACGTTAGCGGGGGACCAGTGAGGGATGATATATGAGGATGAAATGGCTGGTCAGTTAGCCCATCGTGATGAATACACCTGGAATTCAGGACGATGGTTTCCAAGGGGGACCACCTGGAGGTCGACCTGTCAGGGTATATTGCTAGCAATGGAATTGATAGTACGCATTACTGACAATTTCTTTCCCCTCTGTATATTGGTAGTAAGTAACCTAATACAAACGGGGAAGAAGGATTGTTAGTATTGGGGATATAAGTTCCCCATAGCTAGCAATATGGGTATATTATTATCAGGTCGACCTCCACACGGTTCCCCCTGGAAACCATTTTAATTAGTTCCTTATGAATTCGTCACTATGGACCAACTGACCTACTTCATCCTCACCTATCATCCCTCACTGATGCCCCGTCGGTATATACCGATAGCACAGGCGGGGTTACCATTACATTATCACTCTAAAAAAACCTAATTCAAACGGGATTGACAAGGACTCTTCTTTTAAAACCTTATTACAGAATATTTCAATGGAACTCTTTAACGAGAATGTTAGGAAACACCGTTAACAAATTAAATTAAGCCGAATCACGACGGTAGCTCGTCCCTACCACGTTAGATTCAAATATGCTCAGCGAAATGTGGGCGTGACGATTGTTACCTTCACCAATGGATAAGATTTTTTTTATTGGATGAAAATGGAGTGGTTACCCCACCTGCGCTAATGGGATACGCTGGCGGGGCACCAGTGAAAGGTGATCGATGAGGATGAAAACAGGCCTGTTAGCCCATCATGATGAATACATCAGGAATTAATCATGATGGGGAACCGCGTGGAGGTCAACCTGATTGGATATATTGCTAGCTATGGGATTCTTAGTCTCCATTACTAACAATCCCTTCCCCCCCCCCCCCCCCAATGGATATATTATGTTGATATTATGTTATCGTCCACAAATGCCTCTGGCTATTTCATCAGGGGTTATGGTCATAAGCATATTTATTTTAAGAGTTTCCGTATATCGACTAGTTGTATGCTGCAACCTCGCCTGCATGAATCAGTGAATCAAGTGTTCTACATGTTAAATTCTGATATAACCTACAAGTGTGGCAGATTTAATTCGAATTAACCAAAGAAAGACTTTGTACAAAAGTCGATTGCTTGGGGACCTCTGTCCCATTCGTGTTTTTACCGTGAAGCAGTTGTGTTTGCATGGCTGTGTTTCGGTATGAAGGGTGGGATATGGCGTGAATTTACAGGGTACAGAGGAATAACACCTGAGTGCTCAGGAATGGCAACGCATGGGGGGTATCATGGGCGAAACAGTATACTCTATTATGTCCACGGTACTGCTCATGTCTATAGGCGACGGTTACCACTTTCCATCAGGTGGGCCGTCAGCTAGTTTGCCATTCTAAGTTGCATAAAAAAAAATACGATCAGTAGTTTTTGTGTGAAAAAGTAACAAACACAAAGGATCCCTACAAACTTTCGTGTTTATTTATAGTAAAATAAGTTGACAGTGATTTTTGGACCAAAGATCTCCTTCCATCATCACTCATCATCCCTCACTTTTTTTTAATATGTGAAAATAGAATGGTAACCCCGCCCGCGCTATCGGTATACACCGACGAGGCACCAGTGGAAGAGGATAGGTGAGAATGTATGCAGGTCTGTTGACACACCATGATGAATGATGGTTTCCAAGAGGAATCGCATAGAGGTCGGTTTGAGAGGCTATATTGCTAGCAATGGGACTACTTGACCTCATTACAAACAATCCCTTTCACCCCCCCCCCCCCCAATCATCCCTCACTAGTGCCCCGCTAGCGTATAGCGCAGATGAAGTGACCATCCATTTTCGTTAAAAAAATCTTCCGATAGCTGTGACCTCGACCCGCGTATAATACAAAAATTGTATACAGTTTTATAATAAATTAGACTGTATTAAATTTATTATACTAGATAACAGTCGCCTTTGGGGGAAAGGATTATCAGGTCGACCTCCACGCGGTTCCATCTGGAAAACATCGTGACTAATTCATCGTTCAATTCGTCACGATGGGCTAACTGACCTGCCTTTTGCCTCACCAATCATCCCTCACTGGTGCCCCGCCAGTGTATACCGATAGCGCAGGCGGGGTTACCATTCCATTATCATGCATAGAAAAAAACAGTCGCCCTTTAAATATTAAATAATCCCAAACAAATAATAATGTCATATCTCCGGTAACTGAAAGGATATCTAGATAATGCTGTTAAACAATGCACTATCGCACGCTCGTACATGACAGACGCATCCGTTGTATAAAACCTTTTTTTATTTTACTTGACTTTTTTAATAAACATTCTTGGCCTTTTGTCGAAATTTGTTATTTTAAAAAATTTAAAAAAAGTAATTGTCTATTTAATGCATTATTATTTCCTTAAATATGAATACCAGTTTTTTTTTTTTTTAATAGGTGAAAATGGTATGGTAACCCCGCCTGCGCTAACGGGATACGCTGGCGGGGCACCAGTGAAGGATGATCGATGAGGATGAAAACAGGCCAGTCAGCCCATCATAATAAATTCATCTGGAATTAATCATGATAATTTCCAGGGGGAACCGCGAGGAGGTCGACCTGGTTAAGTATATTGCTAACAATGGGATCCTTAGTCTCCATTACTAATAATCCCTTTCTCCCCAATGAATACCAGTTAAAAACATCATTTTTTTTTAACGGATGATAATGAAATAGTAATAGCGTTATTTATAGTGAGAGATGATAGGTGAGAATGTGAGAAAGGCAAGTCAGTTAGCCCATCGTGATGAATACACCTGGACTTCAGCACGATGGTTTCCATGGGGAAACCACGTGGAGGTCAACTGAACAGGGTATATTGCTAGCAATGGGAGTAGTACTCTGTATTACTAACAATTCCTTCCCCCCTCCCTCGTCCAAGGTGCTGTTCATGTCAACATAGGCGACGGTAACAACTTCTGTTCTCATCCAACACATCCCACACCACTCCCATCAAATGGCCGTCAACTCGTATACCCTATCCAGTTGAATAAAATAATAAAATTTTAATCGTGGATCCAAAATGTTGTTATGCTGATCCATGAGCACTACCCTTGTACTTGATGAAAAGTGTTAACATGAACAGCATCATCTTGGACATCAAAAAATACACTGGTATGATCAAAGCACCCTTCATTAGTAGCTGTTCCTGAAGAAATAGAAATGCTCAGCATGTGTATATAGTAAATTACAGTAAATATGTACGGCCATTCGATGCGGAAGGACAACATGACGAAATATGAATTCGAATCGAGATTCCTTGTTTGTCTAACCGAAATGTACCCTCCAACCGGAAGCTAGCCAGGATATCCTCTACATTTATGGTGCACTATCACCATAGCATCCAGACAGGCTTAATAACACCATTTGGAGCTTATTTAATATGGCGTTGGCGGCCATTTTGTACGAGGTGCGCGTGCGCCGTTTCCTGCGACGAAAAGAGCGCTACCTACCCATTGTTTTGCTGGAGGGGATGCGTGTGATACGAATACAAATGGTGTTGATACTTGTAACTGTCGATTTGAAAAAATGCGGAGGGCTTTTTTAAGTTATCGCCTACAGACTGATGGTCATAAGAACTTAATCTTAGATTTAAAATGTTATAAGTAACTGAATCGATAAATACTCGAAACAAAATAAACTTAGAACGAATAGAAGGAGATTTGGTGCAAACGTCTTAAAATCATTAAACCAAACATTATTACATGTATGACATCTCCATATTTAGAAGTAATAAAATTTTCGTCGTGCCTCCAATCAAATTATTTATAATTACTCCTCTCCATCCAAAGGTTGCCTGGAAGAGATCGCTCTTAGCGATAAGGTCGCCCATTGTTTTCTTAGTGTAATATTTTCTTGTAATTGTTTATATTTACAATAAGTTTACTATTGTAATCTTATGGAGGAAATAATAAAGAGTATCTATCTATCCAAGCAAACAACTTTTATATATATATATATATATATATATATATATATATATATATATTAAAGTAATTAAAGTAAGTTTCTTTTTTTTTCCTTATTTATCATCATGTTTATTATGTTTGTAGCTTAATATTGTTAATTCTGCATGTACAAATACAAAGTTTTTTTTTATACAACTTAGAATGGCCAACAAGCTGACGGCCCACCTGATGTAAAGTGGTAACCGTCGCCTATAGACATGAGCAGTACCATGGACATAACAGAGTATACTGTTTCGCCCATGATACTATC